TATTTAATGATGTCTCTAGATGAGATCAGTGTGTGGGAGGAGATCTTTTTACTAATTAAGGTATTATATTTTCATAATATTGCATATGACATTGTTTTTTTTTATAAATGTTAAGTATTGCAGGGTCTTTGGCTGAATACTACAGGCWGTGCTCAAGCCACAGCTACTATTATAATGATCCTGTGAACTAGTGAATGGCACTTTCAGGGACTGCTTCATTGATACCCGTTTTCTTTTGTTCAGTGTTTACAGGAATTAGAGTTTTYACATGCCAATCATATCATTCACCAGGACATAAAAAGTGACAATGTGCTTTTGGAAATGAAAGAAGTTAAACTTAGTGAGTAACAAGTGAAGAAAAAAAAATTCATTATTTTTTTACTATATTTTCCTACCTTTTATATATTAAAAAACCGTCATCTGTTTATATTTTTGAAAATTAATATATAGAAGGGGAAAGAATCTATTCTAGAGGCAAAAACTACAAACTGGGAACTAGAGTGGGTTTGAATAACAAACCTGCTATTACTTACTAAGTACTTTGGGTGATTTAATCTCTTTGTGTCTCTTTTCTCATTTATTCACTGAGGAAGATAATAGTACTGATCTCAGGATTCATTTGGGAGGTTAAAAATGTAAAGGACTAAGAAGCAGTATATAGGACTGTCCTAGTGTTGATGCTGTCTTAAAGGGATCAAGTTGAATTTGTTTATGCCATCTGTTAACACTGTTTTTTTTTTCATTGTACTCTTCAGAATTCTCTGAGTTTTATAGAGTATAGCCTAATAAGGAGAAGGTTATATGACCCTGACCTCAGAGATGACAAGAAAAATATCCCACTTTTCTAATGTTCTTCTGTATGAGACACAGTAAGGTCATAAAAAAACATCCTGAACTTCTTTCCTTTGTGCCCATAATCTTCGAATACCTTCCTACCCTCTGGAGAAGTCAGGCAGAGCTATTAAACTACATACTGTAAAGGTTACTCAATCAGGTCATCAGGCAATTGGAAATAGATAATCACATACATTTTTGGTGGAGACATATGAAAATGGAATTAGACATATTGGTTAATGTTTTGTGGTGACTCTGACACTAGATGAATGCTCTTAGGTAAATTAACTACAAATATATATGCCTTGGATACCCATTTGTAAATGAGAATAATCTTAAGAGTAAGCATACCTGGGGCTCAGCTTAGTGGGGCATGCCTGTAATCCCAGTTGTTTGGGAGGCTGAGGCAGGAAGATTACAAATTCAGAGCCAGCCTAAGCAATTTAGCYRGGCCCAAAGTAATTTAGGAAGACCCTGTCTCTAGCCTAAGAATGTGGCTCAGTGTTGAAGCACCAAGGTAAATTACCAGAACCAAGTTTTAAAAAACTACCTATCTCATAGGGTTATCATGAGGATTAGATGTTTTTACAAGGTACTTGGAAACAGTACCTGGCTTTTATAAACACTGATTTTCATTATAAATATTATTTTACCCAACAGTTCCTCTTTTCTGTATTCACTCCTATAGAATCACTCAATTTTATCTGCAATATGGTAAAGAAAAACTAAATTATCTTAAATGTCAAAGAGTAAAGGAATGGAAATTAGGTGTGTTTATACACTATAATATTTATAGTTTTTAAAATGAAGCAGATAATGTATTAATATGAAAGAATATCTTCAATAAACAGTTTAAAAAATCTCCTAGTTTATTAAAACAAACAGGAGTTCATAGCTATTATTCATTCTTCTGTAAATACAAAAGAGTCTAAAGCTTACAGACCTGAAACCAGTAGTAACATAAGTAGTTGAATGGCTTTAACAATAGAAGAGAAGAAAAGATTGTAARTTCTCATCCTGACCTTTCAACAAAATTACCATTAAATACTAAAGTAGGTTTTCTGTTCYTYAGTTACAATAGAGACAGGGTGGGTAGATTAATGCTAGTGAGTACCTTGTCAGTACAATTGCACTCAACTGTGTTCTTTTTCTAAGCTCTCTGCTCAGTTGTATGCTTAGGGATTCTAGCTTCTCTTTATTCTATT